ATGTGTCCACTTAATGACTTATATTCATCAATTCTAATGTTTTCTCATTTTCCCTCTACTTTCAGTCTGAGAAACATATACTAAAGGCTTCCTCTATAATTACAAGTTTGTCCATTTTTTTCTAGAAGCATTCACTCTGTGAATGCTATTTATTCCATGGGTTTTTATCAAAGCAAATGGACCCTTTACATGATGTTTGTGATGTTAATATGTTGCCATCCTTATTCAATTTTTCTCCATTTTGCATCAAATATACTTAGAAATAAAATGTTTCATATTTTCCAGACATTCCTCAAAGTTTCTGGATATAGGTAGTTTTCCCTGTTTTCCAGAGTTACTATGCAGTATCTCTTCAATAAATTCTTTTTTCCCCCCAAAACCATTTTTATTGGAAGCGATCACAGATATGTCGTTCCATGGTTCTCAATAAATTCTTAAAAGCTTAGCAGGTCTACAAAGCTTTATCTCGTCCCTGGTGGGACAGCAGTTATATACTGGGCTGCTAAAAGCACTGGCAGTCAGAAAGCACCCACTGCTCCTTGGGGGGAAGACGGGGCTTCCTGCTCCTGTTGGGGACTCACAGGGCAGCTCGACCCTGCCCTGTATGTCACGAGTCAGCACTGATTTGATGGCAGTGAGATTTTAAAAACTATAGTCCCTAAGTTTATTTTTCTTTTTTGGCAATTTTAGTCTTACACTATAAAGCCATATCTATCTCTGTATATACACGCACTCGTTTTCTTCCACTGATTACTACCTCCAGTCTTGTTTCTCAGTAATTATTATGATTAACCATAATTTAAAAATTCTCCAAGAAAACAAAACAATCATATGGTATTAATATAGGTGATATATGCCATATATGCCATAGACACTGCATTGTTTAATTATGTTATGTTTTATGTACATAGACCAATTAATGACATTGCCCAGTGATAAAATTTAATGTAAAAAATTAAACCAAGTAGAAGTCACATTTAAACTTAATATTATTTTAGAATATTAATGCCTTGGTTTCTCTGAAAAATGATAAGACTACCTCTTCAAGCACTCAATTTCTATAAAAGTTCACCCTTTAGCACTCAATTTATATAAAGGTTTACAACTTTAATATATGTTGAATCAACTAATGATTCAAAATTTATTGTGTGACCCAGGTACTTCCATTTAAGTGTTGCAAAGACATGGTTTAGAGTAGCTGAATAACAGAGGTGTGTGGTTAGAGGAAACAGGCTAACGGAACAAAGTACAAAAAGGATAAAATATTCGTTGCGTAAATAAAATAGGAATCTTCTCATCGTGTACATAAGAAAGAATGAAATCAGTTTAGGACATGCAGTAAGAAATACATAGTTCTCAAACAATGTATAGCACAATTGCACAATACCACAATTCTTTATCATATTTCTACACTAAGAACTATATGGAAATACGAATGATGAAAGGTGGAGATGTTCTCCACAACTAATTTCTTTTGAGTGGAAAGGACTAATTGCTGCAGAATTCCATCCTGCAGTTGGAATGGAAAGCAGGCATCAAGAATTTCTGGTAATCCAGTAGGGATCAATGCATGCTTAGGGGAAGTAATTGGTTAAAATAGATGCATGTTGAATGAGAAATGAATTTCCTTAACAGTTTTGGAAACCAAAGTAGTGGAAACACTCTATTAGTCAGAGCACTAAGAAAACATTTGATATGAAATAATGCCCCAGGGAATAAACTCCATGATGCAACAGAACCCGTACTGTTCTAATGTCTATAATTTCATCTAAATGTCAGTAATGGAAAAAAATGAGGGGGAAGGAAGATTACAGAAAACACATGGGCCCGTCTGTCTTTCTGCAATTAACTCTATGGGGATTCTTTATTAGAATTACATAACAGTGGAATCGACCCATAACACGTAAGAGCAATTATCTACAACCATGACATTTTCCATGCTGCATCAGTGAGGATGTTAAGTTCAATCAGCAATTTAAATTCTGAGTTTTGCTGCACTTATAAAACAGCCGGGAACACTGGATATTTCCATCCACGTATTTGAAATTAATTTGGGGCCTTGAAAGGCCCCACCGGGAACCGTGGCTCCTTTCTCTTCCTCCCTCGCCTGCTCTTTTCCGCTCTCCCTCCTTTGCTCTCTTCTGATTTATAGGAATTTTTTCCTTTCCAAAAACAACAAGTGCTTTCTTTTGGCTCTGTTAGTAAGTAGGGTGACACAAACGTGTGCCAAGAAAAACATGGACTTACTTCAGTTGTGTTTCTGGTGGCTTTGCTTGCTTGTTGGAAACAGTGACACTTGGGATGGTACGACGTGAGTTTCCAACGCCTCTGAGAGCTTGTTTCGTTCACATGCCTCAGAAACTAACCCTCACTAAAAAGTAAAACAGTTGCCATCGCCTCGAGTTTGTCTCAGGGGCCGAGTGTGTCTGAGGAGATTCGTGGGGCAGAGGGTTCCCAAGGACGCATCTTCCCGGAGTAGACTGCCAGGCCTTTCCTACAAAGTTGTTTCTGCCTGGTCCCAGCGGAGAGTGCTAACCAGTTTCACAACTCTAGAGGTGGGTCTGATAACCAGGAGTCACTGTGATGGTGACAGGGGTGTCGAGCAAGTAAGCAGGTCATCAGGACTCCTAGTCCCATCCCTGTGCTCTCGGCACGTCCCTTGACAAGTCCCCATTACCACCTGTGGACATCACTGGGGGAGACCCGACCTGGTGCATGATGTCCTTCAGCAACTCCCCATTCCTCATCATTATCCCCCAAGGACACCACTGAGGAAAAGGCAAGGCGTACTTTCGTGCGGCAGTTTTCCGCTCTGTCCCTCATCTTATGAAAACTCACCAGTAACTAATGCATCCCTTCTGGAACCTAAATTCCCATTTTCAAAGGTGAAAGGCGGTTGGGCTGTCTTTTTACTTCTATGAAAACACCAAACATTCACAGGATAGCTGTTTCTTTCCCTTGATCTCCTCCCTGTAAATATAATTTTATCATATTCCTGTACACCATATATTGTAGGGCACCCTCTGCAGTTGCTGATGTTGGAGCTCTCACTGGTGATAATCTTTCAAAGAGAGATTACTTATGCGTTAACCTCTATTTTTTCCCCCTCTGAGAATTGTACAAAGAGAACAGTGAACCAAGCAGCCCAGCAGAGAGCTGGCAAGCCGGTTTCTAAGAGGCTTTCAAACACAATTCACCAGGGTCAGGATCTGAGCCTGCCCTGTAGGCTTAGAAACCAGATTACCACCCTGAGAACAGAGCTGTCTCTGTGGGGTGGAGTCATGTGAACTAATTTTACAAGGCAGAGGTATAAAAACCAGAAGAGCACGAATTTACAATGAGAACCAGATCTGTCCCAGGGATGGGAATTGACTATGTATGTGTGCCTGTGGCTTCAGCCCATGGCCTCAATTCCCTCCTCACCATCAGCAGCCAATACACGGTAAAGTACACAAATAGCACATTCTCCACCTATGAGCTAATGTCCCTTTGAAAGAAAAATCACAATCAGAACAAGGAAAGTTGGACTGGTGAGTCTGATACAGGAGTAAGGAAGTCAGATACGTAGAACATTTAATGGTAGGGATTTAATGACGCTAATATGCCCATCTCACTAAAAGGGGGCATAGGGACTCATTGCAGAAATGCTGACTACAACCTGTTGTGTCTGTCTCCCCCTAAGCTCACATGCGCTCAAAACACCGTGTGCACAACAGCAAAGCTCTCTCTCTGCATCGGTCTCTACAGCAGGGACAACGGTCTCCCTGACTCTGCACAGAACTTGAATGGGCACGTTCCCTACTTGTCTTTCCTTCAACAAAATAATTATCTGGAACAATTCAGACACTTAAACATTGCTCCATAACCAACTCACTGCCCTCGAGTTGATTCCAACTCAAGGCAACCCTTACAGCACAGAACAGTAGAACTGGCCCCAGCGTTTCTGAGCCTGAAAAATCTTTATGGGAACAGAGAGCCACATCCTGTTCCTCTGGAGCGGTTGGTAGTTTCAAACTGCTGACTTTTTGATTCGCAGCCCAACGCATAACAGACTCCCATAAGATTTTTTCTTTTTCTTTTTTTGTCCCACCCTCCTCCCCCATAAGACTTTTTAAGCTAGAAGATTAACCTTTAGTAGAATTTATTATTTCCTTTATTCCCAGATCCTGGGAAAATGTCAACAACTTAGACTATTTTCACAGTGTCCACTCGTCATGAGTGTTATATAAAACGCCTTCATTTTTGTTGACTATGATTAGATATGATAGAACACTAAGAAGCAAGTCGAGAGTACCAAACATGTTCCACTGTTCTGAGAAGGCACTGTGCCACCATTTCTAAGGAGAGGCTTTCCCCAGCCTTCATAAAGAAGGGCAGTTTCATGGGGACAGAAATTCCTGCTGTGTTCCCTGACTTACCCCAGTGCCTCGTTCAGGTCTGACCCCACCTGCACGGAGTAGAACGGCTCACTCCGAGACAGGGTGTTCAGGGCTATGACTTTTGGAAGGCCATCATCAGGCCTGTCTTCCAAGGTGTCTCTAGGTAGTTTTGAACTCCTAACCTTTTGACTTGTAGTGGAGAGCACAATTGTTTGTGTCACCCAAGGATTCTAAAAGAGTGTAGAGTTCAAAATATTTACTGAATAAATGAATTTAACCTACAAACGGAACCAGGTTAAAACAAGCAGACAAATGAGCATCTTAAGCAATATACATGATCATTCTAAAATCCCTCAATTAGTCGATTCATTTAGAGCACAGCATTCTTAAATACATTCAAATGAAATAAGACTATAGATTATGTCATCTATTAACATATCAAAGTTAATAAAGTAAATCATATCTATTGGCATATTCAAAATTTAAAAATGATCTTTTTAGTTTTGACATCTTCCTTCATGCATTTTATTCTTTAAACTAACATTTGAAAGACAGAAGTTTCCATAAATATGTATTTTCTTTTATCAGTTTAGAGTACTTATGTTAATGGAAAGGCTTTACCTATCACTTTATTCTTCTTTCCATTTTTAATAGGTGTACAAAGCAAACTTCTAATGTGCTGCTGGTTTACATTTCCGGTGTTTTCATTCTACAGGGGAAAAAAACAGTAAAAAATTGAGAAGAGATAATATTTTCTATTAAATATCACATATTTGGCATCATTAATATTCTCACTTTTAACTAAAGGTCACACCAGCGTGCAGTGTACAAATTGTAATAAAGTTTACACAAATGCAACATAAATCCACCACTTTTTAGTAAACAATGAGAAATGTCCTAAACTTTGACTTTTTTTCATTGTACACCTTTCCAAGTAGCTGATAATAATGCTATCAGCAATCAGTAATACTACATTTACTTGGTATCAAATATAGTGGCCTAGTACATATCTCAAATAATTTGGCAAAAGGGACAAAATGAAAAAGCATCACACTACCCAGGCCACAGAGAAGATCTCCTTCCCCCGGTTTTCTGGGCTGTAATGGTACTGAGCGCTGACCGTCAAGTCTTTTTTCTGGGGATAGAGTTGAACTGCCAGCGGATAAGCACAACCACGGAGTCCCCAGGGCTTCTATCTAGGGCACTACAGTTACAGAGTATCCTGCTTCCCAAGGTTCCATTTCCAACCACACAGACAGACCCATGGTTCTAAAGTGAACAGAACCAACCACTGCAATCAAAAGGCCAGCACATCTGTCCCAGGACAAAGTTCAAAAGGCAGGGAGGAGAGTACAAGAAAGAACGGAGTGGAGACAGGAAGGCAGTGGGGTGAGGCATGTGATCAATGGCATGAGACCATCTGTATGAGTTATTGAATAGAAAACTCATCTGCTCTGTCAGCCTTCCCTTAGTCCAAAATCAAAAGTGAAGCAACAAAGTCAAATGTAAACCCCAAATTATCCTGTTCTGTTCACGCCACTTTCTATTGCCCGTGTTATTAAAGCTCTACAAGGCCCCCCAGTTAGAAGCACGACAAGACCACGGCAGCTGCTTCAATAGAGAATGCTTTGTGATGTGGGAGAAATACTAACATTCATAGCTTCTAGTGCCAGGAAACTGATGTCTGCTGCTTTGCTAATTCGGGGGAAATGCGAGGGAGCTTCAGAAAGTTCGTGGGACAATGGAACTAAAAGAACAATGGAACAGTTCTTCTGTAAACTTTTTGAGGCCCCTTGTAGCTATCCGTTTTCCCATGGAGCTACTCACTGAGAAAGTTTACAGAGTTGGACAAACTTAAGTCCTGTGAATGTTAATTTCTGAGGATAAACTTAAAGAATTCTAGTAATATTGTCAAATTCTAGGAATACTATCAGATGTATGTGGTTGATATGTAGGTGAACCTTAAATTACTACAACATTTCTGTATGAGAGCTCATTAACACCCCTCAAAGCAAAACTGATGGAAGTACAGGGAAACAGTGCCTCAGCATGTGTGTGTTGTGGATAAACGCTGTTGAGTTGATTCTGACCCACAGCGACCTGCATGATCAGACCGCTAGGGGCTTCTTGGTGGTAAGCTTTTCCCAACTGTTTTATTGGCATATAATTCACATGTCACACAATTCAACACTCTAATCACATCCAGAAGAGTTGTACAATCATCACCACAATCAGTTTTAGAATATTTTCTTCATTCTTGTGCTCACCATTAATACACCCCTCCGCCCCCACCTTCCCTGACATACCTCCAAGAGACCATTCATCCAGTTACTGTCGCTGTAGATTTACCTATCCTGGAGTTCATATAGTTATTTTAAAATAAAATAAAAAAACCCAGGCACGACAAAAGTAAACATTGGCTGTAGTTTTGGGGTGCTCCTTAGAGGGAAGGAAGGAGACACTAGATCTCACGTACTTTGGACGTGTTGCCAGGAGAGGCCAGCCCCTGGCGAAGGACATCATGCTTGCTAAAGGGAGGGTCAGCAAGAAAGCAGCGGGCTCGCAACGAGACGGATGAACACGGCGGCTGCAGCAATGGGCTCCCACGTGAGAGCAATGGTGGGGACGGCACAGGACCAGGCCGGGTTTCGCTCTGCTGTCCAGCAGGGTCACGATGAGTCAGAACCAACCCGAGGCAGCTCCCCACCACCACCACCTTTGTGGGAGCAGACCCCTGGGGTCTAAACTGCCAACCTTGCAGTTAGCCGCAGAGCACTGAACCAAGGCTCCTTGTTAAGCACTGACGACCACCTTGAATTACGAGCTATTTCAGGTGCCTTTGTGTGGTCAGGAAATCACCCCCCACTCTTAAAAAAGCAGCTGGACTCAGTCCTTCGGTTGAAACATAACTCCAAGAACAGATTTGATGAGAAAACAGCTTTCTAGATTCAAGTCTAAAATGGGGTTACTTACTGTCCAGGGAAATCTTCTGTCCTTCGTGACATCTGGTATATTAAGTGGCTCCATAGTATTCTTGACGTACTGAGCGTACATGTAATTGATTTTGTTTGCATCACGTTCCCTGTGGAAATAACAAGCATGAGCTCTTCCTGTACAGTGAAAAACATGAGCAAAACAGAGTTCAAGAAAGGTTTCTATTCCAGAGAAAGACCAGTCTCAAATTTTAGGAGAAAGATAGGCATTTTAATTGAAAAGGTCCTCTCAAGTGCTTGCAACTTCGGTAATGGCTACATCTAAGTGATTTTAAAAGGGAGCAATTATAATTTGTCCACTGTCTAAAGCAAGTCAAAAAAAGTCACAGACCAAGGGGAAAGTAAAAGGAAATAGAGGAAGAATTAGGAGGCAAAGGCATTTATAGGGGTATAAATATAGGCGCATAGATCTATGTACATATATCGTACATTAAGTATTAAGGGAGAAGATGGGCCTCTACTCAAGTACTCCCTCAACGCAATAACACTTTGTTCTAATAACCTTAACATAGGGGCAGCCCTGTGAGGCCCAGTGTCAGTGCTAACACGCTGTGTGGTACAGTGAACCCCCACCAAGTGACTGGGTGAAACAATACAGATAGGTGTATGGTCTCTATTTCAGGGATTCGGCAGAACTGCCATTTCTCTGGGTGTAAAAGAGACATCTCTGGACCGGAAAAGGACCATCAAGACAGAAGAGCCACCAGGGGTGTGTGTGCACGATCCCCTTCTCAAGGGTCACAGCCACCAAGGGGTCACACTTCCCGTTCAGAGACCAGAGACCACAAGACAGAGCAGCAGGTGGGCTTTCTGGCCCACAGAAGCAGAGGCCAACAGACCACTTGGCTGAAAGGTCAGGGATCAGAGTGACATATTGGCCAGCATGGCTGAGAAGCATCACTGTAACCTTACCATTTGGTAACCTATTGACTTCCCTACTAAATCCCTATAACCGTGAGTGTTGTCAGCTTATCAAAGCCAGCAGAGAAGTACTTAGAGTGCCGTGGGAAGGACAACTGGTGTCAGCAACCCTCAGTGTCGCTGCGGCATCATGCCTGTTGTCTGTGAGACCAGATTGTTCATGGTGTACTTTCAAAATCTAATACCTATTCTGTTTGAGATGACCGCTTTATGCCTAACAATCTGGAACAATTTAGTACATCGTTTCTCAAAGTGGGCAATACTCTACTTTGAACCACCCACGGAGACTGAAAATCTAATACACTTTATCCTAGTAATGCATCCAAAGTACACGAGCCCTCCTGGCTGTACTTTTCCGAAACAGGCTTGTTTGCTCTTCTGCCAGTCAATCCCCAGTGCGTTCCACATTCGCCAGCAGGACCATCACACAGGCGCATCAACATCAGGTCTTCTGTGGTCTTCCTTATGGAGGATAAAGCATTTGCATGCATAGGAGGTGACTGAAAATCCCAACTGCACCTCAGTCCTCCAAGGTGACATCTTTGATCCAACAGTGTCAAGGAAGTCTTGTGCAGCAGATTTGTCCAACGTGATGTCACTTGATTTCTTGGCTGCTGCTTTCCCTGAGGGTTGATTTTTGGACCCAAGTGAAATGAAATCCTTGACAACTTCAACCCTTTCTCCATGTGCGGTGTAATGTTTAATGACTGTGGTTTCTCTGTGATGCTGTTTATTGGTTGGTTTTTTGCTTTCTTTTCTCTGAGGGGCTCAGCACTGCATCAGACAATGTCCCCGCTCCTACTGATAAGCTTCTGTCTGGCCATGCTTTTCCTAAGTGGCCACCTCTTCCGATGTCCACGACTGTCACAATCTGGAAGCACCGCTGAAACTTTTCCACCACGAGAGACCCTGCTGATATTTGAAGCAGCAGTGGCACAGCTTCCAGGATCATGCAAGCCACCACAGTATGACAAACGGACAGGCAGTGGTTGAGTTGAAGCAGAAACTCTAAAACCTTTCTCCTCCAAAATCACCAAATCCATTGCCATTGAGTCAACTCCCAGCAATTCCAATTCCAACCCCATAGAAGAGAACAGACCTGCCCCTTCGGGTCTTCAAGGGGATGAGCTTTACAGAAGCAGACTGCTACATCTATCTCCTGCTGGGTGGGTTTGAACTGCTGACTTTCGAGTTAGCCACTGTGTCACCAGGGCTCCTAAAAACTTCCCACAATTGCAACATGCGCCTCCCTTCTAAAACTCCCGGGCAACCCAACTCCCAAGAATTTACCGTTTTTATGCCCCAAACATAATTCTATTAATTACGTAGGATTTTCACCTTGAATATTTTGTTATGCACTCAACATTTCAAAGATGTTTTCAATATATTCTTATACTTTATAAAGTATTTGAGTTATTGGTGAGCCAATACTTTCCAACTGATAAGTAACTTCCCAGAAAGGAAAGATTCATTTATCAGGAATACCATCAAACTAACCAGCACTGCACTTCATAGAAAAGTGTTAGGATTGGCAGACTGTCTAAATAAGAGATTTGGAGAGTCCTGAATTGTATCAATTAGCAATTTGAGAAATGTAAGAATGAATTTTCTGGTGAAAAAGAACAAGGATCAATATTAATTTTGTTATTTTTCAAAATGTTGATATTATTAATCACTATTTGCATTCAGAGTTTGTCACAAAATGAGATGTGGCATCTAATTTTCCATATTTAAATGACTTGTTGAGTCGGGTCCAGCTCATCACGACCCTGTGCACTACAGAATGCACCACTGCCCGGCCTGCTGTCTGAGCCCAGTGCCAGTGTTGCAGCCACAGTGTCAATCGACCTCATTGAGGGCCTTCCTCCTTGCCCTGCCCTCTACGTCACAGCATGGTGCCCTCACAGGACTTAGAGGTCTTGTAGCATAGTATTTAAATAAAGGCTAACCTTAAAATGTTACTTAACATAAGCCATTGGTGGGAATGCTTTTAATTACTGTGAAATCAGGTAATTAGTCAATTAAAACAGCCCATGCAAATCAGTCTCTTCTTAAGGTTATCACATGAACTTAATTGTGCTTTATAAAAAATGTCTTTATACTAAAGTTTTCTTGAGATGATTTTTTTAAAGAAGGAAAGCTACCTTTTATCTGCTTACAGAGAGAAAACATGGCACTCATCAGACACAAATCAGACCTAGCAAGACTTTGCTTTGGTTTTTCTTTTTGAAAAAATACATAGTCACCAGAAGAGGTCACTATTACATTAAGTCACCGGGTTTGTCCAGAGAGGACTAGAAACGATACCACCTGGCTGAATTTATTATAAATTACCAAAATTCCGATTCACAAATTATACATACACGGATACATGTGCACAGATATTCAAAGGTAAATACAAATAATCATCCTTTTTTACTCTGAATATATATTATCATACTGATTTTCTATTGTCCTATGAATAGATTTATATCCTACACTTATGCATCTGACTTATGCATATGTATCTATGCTTATTATACATTTAAATTTTCAATTATAATTTTATCTATATTCATATAGTAACTCATTATTTATGGAAGCAATTGAAAGCAAAATAATAAAGTGTTCACATGTGTCTTCTCTGGAAATTTCCAGATATTCTTTTTCAGAAGCAACCAACATGTCATAGTATTGTATATTTTATAATGTTATATATCGTCCTAAAGATAAAGAAACTTCATGATGAGCTAAATGGTGTAGCGTGATACCCTCATTTAAGAGGCGCATACAGAGTCAGTGCACACACGGGCACACACACACCAAGGTGTGCACAGTATCAGACATTCAAAAACAGTCAACGTTACGGAAAACAGTGTCCAATATGCCAGAAAATATGTCGTCATGAGGGCTTAGGATATAAACTTCAGCTCGTGACTAGTCAGGCCAAGAAAGGAATACAGATCAGCTATTCAGTTGTGCCAGTCCCTGGTTGCTGCAAATGATTAACAAATCCAGCTCCTAACGCCAAGCGTGGAGGTTTGAGCTCACCAGAAGCCCCTAGAAAGAAAGGTCTGGCGATCTCGTAGGAAACAATCAGCCACGGAAAGCCCCATGGAGCACAGTGCTACCCTGATACACAAAGGGCCGCGAGGCGGGGAAGCCAACCCTCAGCTAAATCTCCCACCGTTATTCTTCCCTGCCTGGAAATAAGAGGGCCCCACATAAAAGACAGCAGTAAAGGCTTAAAGCCAGGTATGCGCATCCCCTGAGTCAAATGAACTCCTCATCTGTTCTTTCTTACAAGAGGAGAAGCCTTTGACTGCACTTTTAGAATGTTTAAAATGAAAACCATTGCTGAAATAACACCTTAGTAAGTTTACATTGAAACAGAGTTAACTTACAAACCAACCCCATCAAGTCAGTCACTATGAACGTTAACTTCTCAATCTCTACGGGGAGAGATCAGAGGGCAGTCTGTGGACAAAGAAAGAGAAGAGGGGAAATACTCACGGGAGGAGGGCAGAGGTCGAGGCAGCTCTTGCAAACCTCACGAGGCTCGTCGGGGTCAGGCTTGTTTAAAAGGGTTGGAGCAAAACAGGCTGTGTAGTAACGCCTTTTGCTTTTGCACGCTATAATCTATAGACATCATTTTTGTTTTATTTTATTTCCAACTTCTTCTGGCAAACATTTCCTTCCACCAGAGTATAATGCATGTTTTTGAAACACAGGAAAAATGGAAGAAGGTGGAACACCATCCACTGGATCAGAATCACCATAGAAGCTTCCTCCGTGTGGGAGGAAAACGTAGGGCAAAATTCAAACTCCTCAAGAAAGACTCACAGAGTCTGGTGGAACCCCGAGACAATGGCCCGGAGACACCGTTAAACCTGGCACTGAGCTTCAGCCCAGAATCCAGCTTTCAGCCAGAGAGAAGGCGGGCTTATAAAGCGAACAGCAACACCTGTGACACAGTACTCCGCAGAACAAGTGACCACACGAGACGGAGAGGGCAGTATCTGTCCCCAAAACAAAGCTCAGAGGGCAAGAAGGAACATGAAAAACAGGAATAGAAATGGGCACTTTGGGAAGGAAGTGGAAAGAGTGCTTTTACATTGAGAACATTGCAGCTGCGGTATGAAACCAAGTGCGTATCAGCTGTGGAAGAGAAAACTAGCTTGCTCTGTAAACGTGTACCCGGACCATTACAAGGTGGTTAAAAGGAATGAAAGAAATTTAAAGGTAAACCAAATATCTTCCACCTGGACTCAACAATTTTTAAATATTTTTATCATATTTGCTTTATTTATATGTAGGCATAGATATATTTATTTCAATGTATTAAATTTATGTACTTATCTTTGGTTAAGCCATCTTAAAATAAGTTGCAAACATCATAATTCTTAAATATCTCCGCATGAAACACTTTAAAACTAAGAACATTCTCCACTAACCACGATACCTTACTAGCTCCAAAGTAACAATATTTCCTTCACCATCAGTTCATTTCAACCATTCCATTATCTCCCTAAATCGATCTTTGAATTTTTCACTTTGATCTGCATTTTTAACAGGGAGTAATCAAGTTCACATGCTGCCTTTGACTATTACGTCTTCATGAAACGTCCTTCTATTCATTTTTAACGATCTTTGGCATATAACTCACATATACAATTCAATTGTTCAATCGCATTAAAGAGAGTTGTGCAATCATCGCTACAATGAATTTTAGAACGTTTTCTGCTTTCTTGTATTACTGCTGTTAGCTCACCATTTCCCCAACCTCCCATACCAGCCCCCCACCCCCACCCAAATCACTCTGGAACCCCTGGCTATCAAGTAAATCCCAACTATTGCAATCCTACAAAACTATTAATCCAGTTATTGTTTCTGTAGATTTATGTATCGTGAATTTCATATATAGGAAAACGTACAAATAGCCCCCCCCCCCATGAAAACCAACAACGGTGACAAAGTAATACAGTGGGAAAACCCTCAAATGAAAGAAAAAAAAAGCAGAAAATATTAAAAACTGGAACAAATTTAAAAGGTGATCACGTGATATGGTATTACATGTTAAGGTAACGACATCTGTAATCAACTTTAGAAGGGTCTCTGTCTGATAGCAAGGCTATTTAAAGCGCTGGACGATGGGCAGAGGGAGGGACGCTCTGGAGGCTTCGTTCATGTGGGGACCCTACAAGAGATTTGGGGCCTTCACTGTCATCCATCATCTCCTGCAAGCAGGGTGCTCAGAATTAAAGCTGTAGTACCATTCTCTCCTCCAGATTTGGATTTTATAACTTAACAATCCTTGAATTACACAGGCTGGTGTGCTTCCATGCTGACCCCTCACTTAGATGGCTGCTTGTTTTAAGGCAAGCCTTTTAAGACCCCAATTGCTATTCTTTCTGTTAATTGCTTTTTGTTTTTGTTTTTATGACAGACATTTTAAAGACTCGATAGGGTTCTTTTCTATATGGTAGATGAGTAACAAGGTTATTTTTAAAGCACTACCACTTTTTACTAATGAGGAAGCTTAGTTACTGAAGATTTTAATGGTGGTAATATCACTCACTACATGAAAAAATTCTCAAGTCAATTGTAGTGAAAAAAATCTGGAATTTTATATTAACAGTAAAGTTACAGTAATATTCTAATTCCATGATCACATGTGGCTTTTAGATACAACATGAACGGTCTGCATTTCCTAATGGATCTCTGAATTCGGGTGAGTGAAGTGCTTTGTGTTAAAAGAGTCAGTAACAAATGAACCACATTCAGTGTGATAAACAGTACTGTGCCCAAGGGTTCTGGACACTGGATTCCAGCCGATCTCTAGTCTTTAGGACAGCCTATCACTTATGTTAACAACACTAGTTTTATGCCAAGAACTGAAAAGGGAATATACGAAAGAACCTTTGGGAATTTATTTTCCAAAATTTTCAGAAAGCACATATAAAGCTGGGGCATACGATAATTTCTGGAACAACAAAAACTTAAAAAAAAAAAAAAAGCTAAAACATGAAAAACTAACCGCAATAGAAATCTGATGTTTCTTAGCCATGGGCACAGGTCTTGATATAAAAAGGATTATTGATTCTCATGCCCCAAAAGCTACACTTATTTTAAAGCATTCTCTAAAAACATGCTTAATACTTAACAATCCACCATGTACTCAGTGTCCTCAGGTCCAAAACAAAACATATTATATGATCATCTCTTTATTATACACAACTATGGTGTTTACGTATTTAAAACACCATATATATATATATCTAATATGCTTTACATATTTCTTCCCTTATTTCTTCTATGCCTTACTTAAAGTCTGTTCAGAAGTAATCCGATTTCCAATAAGGGCTCAACTCTGATTGAAAAACTATCTTCAAAAGATTCAACTATTCACTACTAACTAGTGGAACTTAAGTGAGCCAGTTCTTAAGCATACTGCAGTGAGGGCTACACTAATTATAACATCACTGTTTAAAAAGTACGTCTCAGGTAGGCCAATTGTTGTGAACAAACAAACTGAGCTTTAAACTCAAATGGCAAAAGTATTTTGCAAATAAAGATATTTATAGACACAAAAGAGCCTGTAGCTTTTACATCTGAAATCAAACTGGTGATGAAATAACTAGGGAGCTATTCAGGATTCTACACTAGTGAGATATCCCACTTTTCATGAGGGGGACCTAGGTCTGATCGATTCCGGGTCATCACACCTTGTGTAGAGCCACCACTCATTAGTCAGTCTAGAACAGCAGTTCTCAACCTGCGGGTCGAATGACCCTTTCACATGGGTCGCCTAAGACCTTCGGAAAACACATAATTCCGATGGTCTTAGGAACCGAGACACCGCTCCTCTATCGGTCTCCAGGCGGGTCCACCCACATGCAGATACGCCCACCTACGAGTACCCAGTGTGAAGACTGTTACCCATGCTACACCATGCTTCAAGATGAAATTTCATTTATTTGTAATTAGAAGTAAATATTTCACAATATATAATGCCATATTGTTTTTGTGATTAATCACTATGCTTTAATTATGTCCAATTTATAACAATGAAAATACACCCTTCATATCAGATTTTTACATGACGATTCATAACAGTAGCAAAATTACAGTTATGAAGTAACAACGAAAATAATTTTCTGGTTGGGGGTCACCACAACATGAGGAAATGTATTCAAGGGTCGCCGCATTAGGAAGGTTGAGAACCACTGCTCTAGCCTAATCTGGGCTAGGAAGAAAGGCCTGGTCATCTTATTTCCAAAACTCAGCTTTTGAAAACCCTACGACTCACAACATTCCGATGTGCAATTGATCATGTCAATGGGGCAAGGCCAGACACCAATTTGCTTCCTTGTGCACTGTGTTGCCTTCAGTTGGGGGGCTGACTTGATAACAGCTAACAACAACAACAACAACAACAACAACGCATTCTTGTGATAAAGAGAAATAGAGAACAAGTTATTTTTACCTTTTGAGAGTATCGGATGATTTTTCTAACTCCTCACACTCCATGTGAAACACACTAGAAAAGGAATCCTGAAAACAGAGCAATTACACAGACTGAGAAAATAAGTTTGACAAAGTAACGAAAACGACCGACACTCATCTGTAGACAAACATAACTGAGGACTTGACTAAAGACATCAATGCTTGTCCTGTCTCCATTACTTTCTGACAGGCTAACCTGGCCTAGTACCAATTTCATGACATCCTCAAATCTGCTCCCCATTATTAAACGCCTTGTTTATTTTGATGGTGACATGAATGCTTATTCGAGTACCATTTTGTTTATTTTTCCTACTACAAGTTATTGGATAGATGCACTTTAGAATTGCTCTTTGGAAATCCTCAATTTTCTACTTTTATGCTCAATCTTGTATTTAGATGCTGTTACTAACTACAGCCCAGGAAGAGAATATCTTTTTCAAAAAGGCACCACTAAGTAAAATTTTATGAGATCGTTACATTAATTGTGAAAATTTCAACAACAGAGAAATACTTTTGGAGTTAAACATGCCATAGCCTTTGCTGTAAAAAAGCAGAATTGAAAGGGAACAAAGAAACATCATGACATTCAGATGAAGCTGAAGAAGTAGGCACTTAAAATAAATCGTGTTTACATTTTGCTTTTTGCTCATGATGTTCAAGTATGTTTAATAAATGAATGATTATAAAATGAAGACATCTTGTCATCCAATCAACTTTCTAAACTTTAAACAACTGAATTGCTATTTAAAAAAAAAAGTAAGTAAAATATCCTGTCACATTGTTGAGCTATGCCTCCAAACAGCACTCAACTAAATCAGCTGCTACCACGACGGGCCTCCGCTGGGAGAAGCATGCCCAGAAGACTAATTAAAGTGGTATTTAGGTTGTTTTCAAAAGGTGTGCCTCAAGGATGACTTTCAAAAATTAAATGCTAAAGAGCAGGTCACAGAGAAAAATGATAAAATGTATTAATGAGTTCTGCCCTGAACTTTAAAAAGACAGTACTATCATGTAATCACCTCTCATTTAAACCCATCCGTAATTTTATAACTGATGGAAAAGTTGAAATCTCAACTGTGAGAATATGAATTTCTTTTAGCAGTGTGAATTCTCACTTGACACCCTATTACTGAGAACTGTGTATTAATCAACATATTCACACACACACACACAATAATTCAGATGACGTTGGGTCATACAGTGCATTCTTAATAGCTAAAGTAACTAAAACATTTAAATATAAATTTAGTACTAAATATTTTTTTTATTATTCTACTTACCCTCCACCCCTAAATCAAGTTGGATATCAAATACGAATTTTAATTGATCTATACATAAAAATGGTAATCCCTATTCTCTTTCCTTTTCAACCAATAATGAAGAGGTGATTCCTAGGGACTTGATGGGAAAAAAGAGAAACATCAAAAAACAACAATACTCCAGAAGCAATAGCTCAAAGGTTGAGAGGGGAAAGAAGATGCATGAAGGAAAACTACCTTCAGCCAGGGGGTTGGTTCAAGTCGAACAGAAACAGCCTGCCTACAAATACTCACACTCTATACCACCTCTCCATCCTGCCCCTTACTTTTTAAAATGTTTCCTCGCATAAGAAATCAATGGCATCAAACCACTCAGTGGTTTGCTAGTGTTGGTAAAGGACTTACTACCTTTAATGACACTGCTTCTTCTGGAACATGACTTTTGGTTCAGGTCCCCAGTACAAGGCAAGGTTTAAGTCTACCTCATTCGGGGTGGGGGCCACTTGTTCATGGCAGCCTGGGCACCACTACTGCCAACCTTGAAAAGCCACAACACTGCAGTGACAAAGTGTTTTTCCTTTAAGATCGTAACCACTGTTGGAAACAGCACACAGCCATTCCCACGGTAACTGGCGCTGGGGTGGGACGTGAAAGGGAGGCACCCTCGGACGGCTCTCTGTCCCTCTTCAACTAGAGGAGCCCCGGCTCCCAGCAGCGGTATGTAAGGGTCACATATTGCTCTGTTTCAGACACGGTTCTGAGGCTACATGACATTTAAAATCAAGGGCTTTGAGGTGCTTGTCTGAGACTAGAAAAGTCATATTCTGTACTCACAGAGCAATCTTCATCCGCTATGAAAATGGTGCACTTGTGCACCTGCATGAAAGAGATAATTGTGGCCGCGATCTTCTTCAGAATTACTTCTAGTGACTGCTGTTCTTCAAAAATTAAGCTCGCAAGGTCAAGCAACACCTGGCCAAAAGAAGATCAGGAGGTTACAATTGATTCATGGTTCGCAATGATTGAAAACAAGGGAAACCTTCAAGGAGATGGACTGGCAGGGCAGCCCAACCCTGGGCCTCTGAGGTCTGAGAGGGCTTGAGGATGGTATGGGAGCGGCCCACGTCTTGTTCTCTTACACGTGAGGTCTCCGTGGGCCAGAGTCGAGTTGATGACAACTAACGGCAACACAACTAATCAAGCAATAGAGTGAGCTAGATGTGTTATAAGCTGTTCAGCAAAAGTGGCACCCAAAAGTTCATGGAGGAAAATTGCATGGTTCTTAAAAAAAAAAAAAAAGAATCATGAACTTTTGAAAGCCCTCTTGTTCCGACTGCGGAGCCCTGGTTGTGGAGCGGTGATGTCCGACCGTTGGAAACCGCCAGCAGCATGTTGGGAGGAAGGCGGGTTTTCTACTCCCCACACAGCCCGTCTCAGAAACCCACAGGAAGCTGCTAGGAGGCCCCATCGACTCGATGGCAGGGATTTTGGTTTTTGTATATAACACAGCAAGTTATGACAAAGTTAGGGCTTGCATTCAAATATTAAATATTAGAAATCTTTGCTTACTAGCAAAACATGGTTGAGATCACAGATCCTGAAGCCAGATTACTTGGTTTTTAATCCCGGCTCCCTTTCCTGATAGGCTTGTGGCCTAGGTCAGGTTTCTTGAAAATGAAGCTAATGATAGTATCCGAATCACAGGGCTGGTACATAATATGCATTATTATTGTTATCGTTCCAGACCTCTAAGATCAGCAATTACCAAAATCAAAACATATTTTATGAAGCATGTAAATAATGCCCAAAATCAACAACAATCTTTCAAGAGTGGCTTCTGTGTTTTTCCTGTAATTTTTCGTTTCTCGGAATTCCCTAGAACTTGTTCTAACCTCGCACAACATTTATGCGTTGAGGAGGGCGAGAGGAGACCATTACAGAGTTTCTCAGGAGGCGATGGAATCCTAGCCGAAGTGTGAATGCTGAGCGGGAGGAACTGATCAGTGAAGTGGTGATGAAAATAGTTCAGATACAAACAACTGCACTGAGAGAAAGCAGCAAACTATGTGTTTTGATCAGGTTTTATAACAGCATACAGTATAGGAGGCTGCCAAAGCAAGCAGGGATAAAACCCCAAAAGACCCTGTATGTGGTGTGGAGTAGTCAGGACTTAGCGACAGACTGCATGAAAGGTGCGGGTGGTGCGGGTGGTCAGGGAACAGGGAGAACAGCTAAGAGACCGGGCTGATCCTCTCAGCAGAAGACAATGGATTTTCAGTCCTCTTTCCTTACTAAACCGAGACCAAAGAAATAAAAAAAGAATCCCTTAAAATCTACAACCTGAAAGAGAACTAGAGCGCGTCCATCAGTACAATCTCATACTTCAATAAACGTATGGAGGACAGAAAGCGGTTGGAGGGGTGGTTAAGTAAGAAGCGGGGCACATGAGGGTTTGGGATGTAACTCCTAGAAAGCGTCCTTCCTTGTTACCTCTGATCTAAGTCTACGACAAAAATAAGTTTGTTTGTTTTTTCCGAAATAATTCAGAAGCCCCAGGGAACAGACCTGAAATTGAGGGATGCTCCCAAATGGTCCAGACCAATCACCCCAAAGAAAAGGCCACCCCGAAGACCCAAACCCACTGCCACCAAAGTCAATTCTGATTCAAGGTAACTGAACGGTTAGAGGAGAATGGCTCCATGGGGGCTTCAGGGCTGTCATCTTCAGAAGCAGCCCTTTCCAATGCAGTACCCAAGGGGGAGTTCCAATGCCATCCTCTAGGCTAGCAGTCGAGCGCAAGCACTTTGCGCCACCCGGGGACCTACAACCCAAGCGCTGGCCCTGACAAAGGCACTCATGGACTGGCGGTTCCCAAATGGCTTTAGATGGCTTCTTGTAGGAAAACACAGGAAGCACATCGAATGCAGGGATAGAAGTACACCCACCACAGCTCTACTGCCTCTAACACTTTGCTTTCTCTTAAGGAATAAAGTAATAGAACTGCACGTGAGCTCCCCTTCACTTCACTCTGGCCCTCGTTCTCTCTTTGGCATTCACCATTGCGCTGAGCTCAATGCTTATATGTTACTACATAGATAATCGTACATAAAAATACAGACAGCAGTATTTTAGATTTAAGCAACACGCAAATGAAATCACAGTAGGGGCATGCAATGTACATTTTTCATAAATATTCTATCTGGGGAATTGATCTTTGTCAGGTTGCAGTTCCAGTATGTGTATTGTTAAGTGTTACATGGGATTCCAGGAGAAATGATTGAAGTTGTCAAAGATTTCATCTTGCTTGGATCCATGGTCAATGCTCATGGAAGCAATAGTTAGTTAAGAGATTAACCGACATGTTGGATTGGGTAAATCTGCTACACAAAACCTCTTTAAAGTGTTGCAAAGCAAAGATGTCCCTCTGAGCACTAATATTCACCTGCCTCACGCTATAGTATTTTCCATCGCCTCATATGCATGTGAAAGTTGGACACTGAATAAGGAAGACAGATGAAGAATTGCTAAACATTCTCTTTTGGAAGAAGTACAGTCAGATTGCTCCTCAGAGGCATGAATGGTGAGACTCTGTCTCGTGTACTTTGTAAATGTTGTCGGGAAAGACCAGTCCCAGAAGAAGGTTTTCAGGCTTGGGAAAGCAGAGTGGTAGAGTGAAAAAGGAAGGCCTGAGAGAAGATGGATTGACATGGTGGCTGCAACAATAGGCTCACACAGAAGAACAATTGGGGGCATGGCACAGACCGGGCATGAGTCGGCATCTGACAACATAGAGGATTCCATATTTCTATACAATATGCCACCATTTTTTTCTCTGATTTCGTGATGGTAGCTATTTAGATCGTTTCCAGCTTTCCAGTCCTATCAATAACACTGTGATGGGCTGCTCCTGTGCATCTATAGTCTTCCTGGAGGAGACACCTTCACTGAAAGGGAAGTTCATCAAAGGGCAAATCTCTCTATTCGAAGTCAGTCACCAAAATCAGTGGTCATCAAGTCAATTCAGCCTCATGGCAGCCCGGGAAGCACAGCGTGAAAATGAGCTCCCGAGGGTTTTCCAACTTTGAAAACCCGATTGCCCAGTCTTGCTCACAGGTGCCTCTGGATAAGTTTGAACTCCCAACCTTCTGATTAGAGTGAAATACTTAACTGTTTATGCGCGCCAGTACACTAACAAGTGTTTCTGCAAAATGATTACGCCAGTTGAAATTCTCATCAACAAAGTATAATTTCCAGTTTTTCCTCGATAACACTCGGTATGTCAGATTTTAAAATTCTGGCCTATGATGGACATAGAGTAGATTTCCTTATAGTTTTAATATCATGGGTCTAGATATTAATAAAGTTAAATATCCTGACATAAATTTATTGAGTTTTTCATTTTTTTATTCTATGAACCACATAGTAATCCCCTTTGCCCATTTTACTTCTGCATAGTGATGTATAGAAGCACATTGTAAATTCTGGATACTATTCTAAAAATTGAAAGGACATTAAAGAATGACCAGACATTCACAGAAATCCTCCCAAATTAAAAGGGACAGATTCAGTCAATCAAAATCAATCAAACAAAAACGCCAAGGAATACTGAAAATTCAAGAAATCAAAGTAAACTTGATAAGCCTCAACATGAATTATTGGCAAAAGTTGAAGACTCACCAGAGAATGAAACTAAAAGAGAAAAGAGGGTGGAAAAGATGAAACATAAGAATCAACTCTGGAGTCTAATATCTTCTTGGAGCCTTGGTGGCACAGTAGTTAATGTGCTCAGTTGCAAACCAAAGGGTCGGCAGTTCAAGCCCATCGATTGTGCCAGAGGAGAAAGATGTGGGTGTCTTCTTCCACATATATTTCCAGTCTCGGAAATCCTTTGGGGCAATTCTACTTTATCACATAGAGTTGCTATAAGCTGGAAACAATTCAACAACAGTGGATTTGGAATATTTGATTAACAAAAGCCCTACAAAGAGAAAATAGAGGGTAGGATGATGAATTACCCAGGAAGTATTGAAGCTATAATTATGCAGAATGGAAAGGGTTTAAGTTCCCAGACTAAGAGGGAGGACCCCAGTGCAATGCAGTGAATTTTTTTTTAAAGGAAGGGGGCATATTGTGAAATTAAGTTGTGAAAGCAAAGATAGACAACCAGCAAAAAACTTATAGACAAAACAAAAAAATACCCCCCCGACCCCCACACACAATCACAGAAACCTACAAAGAACCAGTAATTAGAATGATATGGATCATAGAAGACTGAAAAACCACTGTCTTTGAATTCCGAAAAAGTGATTTTTTAACTTGAGAGTTTTATACTCAGCCGAACTGGCAGGATGCTACAACAGACATTTTCAGGCACGAAAGGGCTCGCAACACTCATTTCATCAAAGTTCTCCTTCACGTTGTTAACTGAGTGTTGCAACAGTAAATGAGAGTAAACTGAGAAAGACATCTTCAGGGGTCCAGACAACAGTGGAATGCTTCTAATACGCAGTGAAGGAACAGTATGATGACAGCTGTGCCATTAAAAAAACTTAAAGACTCATTGCCACAGAGTCAAGTCCGACTCAGAGGGATCCTAAAGGTCGGGGTAGAACTAACTACCCCTTGTCTCAGAAGACTGGAACTCTTTATGGAAATAGAAAGTCTCATCTTTGCCTCAAAGAGCAGCTGGGGGATTCAAACTGCTGAGCTTGCAGGAAGCCACCATGGCTCCAGGGCTCCCGTGTTCAACAAGCAGAGGGAAAAATAGTTCAGCTGGGAAGGGGTGCTGAGAACCTCAATTTGTAGATCTTTAAGAAAAAGAGAAACAACAGAATGATTAAGAAAGCTAAATAACAAAGTAATGTGAACAAAAATGTATGGAGACCAATCATAAAACTTCATTTAAAACTTCAATTTTAAGAAAATTTATTTATGATTATAGAACAAAATATTATTTTATCAACCAAAATAATTTAAGTGAACAAGTCCTGATGAGCAGGGAGGAGATATCTCGTTGGGAAAAAGAAATGAAGCAAAGTTTAGAGATACTAAGATTCTCATCTGATGAAAGTATGAAATCAAGGGGTGATGTCTCAAGGGCAAGAAGGAAAAGCATAAGTGTATTAGAAGTTTATTATATTATCTCACATCACAAAAGCAACCCAGACAGTAACCTGAAACACTGACATATGACTCTGGTCAGATAAGGGCAATGGCAAGCAGGCGAGGGAGGGTGTCAGAGAGTCCTTCATCTTTCAAGTCAACGAATGTTGCTGACCAGTGAGAATGCAGCTGAAGGTGGAAAGTAGGAAATGGGAATATAGAGGAGGGGAAACAGTAAAATAACCAGAGGAATACAGACTCTCAGCCTACCTGGGATTTGAATCACGTACACATTTTACTTAGATGAAACATTAACAATGCTCTAAAAGAGGGCTGTATGTTTCCTTTAGGAATCAGAAGCCTTACCTGATTCCTCTTGTTCTCCAGCAGTGAGGTCTCATAGAGCTGAGCATTATGAAGCACAATACCACAGAATGCCAAATACGCAGCAAAGTCCTAGAAAACAGGTAAGCGAGGAGACACACATAAGGACTGTGTATAAAGCTGTCTGGTTCTAGGTCTCAAAACACAAAAGGCATCCAAAAATATTTAAAGTCAAAATACGTATCAAAAGCTAAAGATGTTCTGCCAAACTAGGAATGGAGCCAAAGCAAATGTTAGCTACACAGCGCCACTAGTCGATGACAAGTCTTAACCTGTTGCCCCAAGGTCAAGTCATAGGAACAAATGAATAAGGAGGACACCAATGGAACTAAAATGCAGGTCTCTTCACATAATTTAAAATGGCAATTTACTTTGTGGACAGTTTGGTGTCTTCTTTGCACAGTAGTAAGACTTGGATCTATGGGGAGACTATGCAATACGTAGAACTGGGGCACATGAAAGTCCATGTAACTGGTTAATAGAATATTGGCGACAAGACTCACTGCCACGGAGCTGATTTCGACTTGTGCTATGGGTTGAAAACGACTCAATGGTGGTGTTACTGCCAATATTCTATTAACAAGCGCTGGGAACTCTCACCTGCCCTGGAAATACATGATGAATGGTTTTGCCACAGAGCCAAATCTGAATACCATACTGAGACTAGGCCTCACACAAAGTTGCAAATATTTTATTACCATTAAATACGCTGCTTTAAACATTAACGTGCTGTCTTAGGGTCATGTGTTCACAGTTATATTAACCACTGATTAAAATAAATCTCCACGGTATTATATTCACAATTACAAATGTATCTTCCCAAATGTGGATAGAACCAGAAAGATTATGTATACATTTAAGAGTCAATCTGGAACCATGTTTTCCCACCCAATATTCTCTGGTGCCATCAATAGAAAAAGAGGCTAGATGTCTAACACTCTGATTTTAAAAGGCCCTTTCTATAGTCTGGAGCAATTAAAATATGAAGACCAACCTAAGTACCAATCCAGCCTACAACACGGAGACAAAAATAACGCTGTCCTCTTTGAGCGCTTTCCAAAGTCAAAGCTCCTATGAATTTTCCGCGGGGAGCAGCAGACATGGCAATGGACTTGGACAAGAGAGAAGTCAGTGGTCTTTCTGATCCACATATAATGGCAGGTTCAGTAGGAGCCATAATAAAACCGACTGACAGAATGAAGTTATAAACAGGCTCAGTCCGGGAAAGGCTGTCAGCTTGGAGATGGGGAAGAAGGGTCATAAACGAGTGCTGACCGCAGCTCTTTCTGTGGCGCAATCCACAACATCCAGCCTGAGTTCACGCCTTGGCGCCCCACCGGCTGGGTGCAGAGCTTATAAAACATCCTGAAATGTGCTTCACTAGGCACCAATTCCAATTTCTAGCCACCACGGAGTTCTGAGCTTGTAGTGCCTTCGGGGTTTATACTGTCAGGGTGAACGTGAGGAAAGGTAGATGAACAACTACAAGACCTGGAGTCACCTTTTGAGTGGCCCCTGCATGCACACCACCCCAGTGAGGCCTGGCTGCATACGGGCAGGGTTTGAGGTTTTGGCTGGAGAAGTAGGGATGGATGAATTCAGGTACCCTCCGAGTCAAGGCAGCATTGTACCACTTGAACCCCCAATCCATTGCCATAGAGTTGATTCCAACGCACAGAGCCACCCTGAACAGCACTCTCAAGACTGTAAACTCGTACAGGCGCAGAGAGCCTCATTTTTATCCCAGGGTGAGTCTGAACCGCTGACCTCGCAGTTAGTAGTCAAGCACGTAGTATTTAGTGACAGCAAATATAAACTTCCAAATATGTCAGCGAATTTTTAGCCAGAGCTGTTTCATAGCCAACATTTTCAGGAATTTAGCTAATTCTAGAGGTCTATAAGAAGAGGCCTATCTGGGTGGTGCCAATGGCTAACATGCTTGGCGGGGAAATGAAAGGTTGGAAGTTTGAGGGAGGTGCCTTGGAAGAAAGGTCTGGTGAGTGAGCTCAGACAAAATCAGCCCTTGAAAACCCCGTGGAACTCAGTTCTCCTTGGACACGGGGGCGTCTCGAGCTGAACTCGCGCCAACAGCAACTGGCTTTCCCGTGAAAAGAAAACTTTGAAAACTGACACCGCCCCAGACCCAGGTTCCGTACCTTTTCATCTTTTTCAGTGAATGTCCCACCATTTCCAGATTTCTTGTTGATGGCCTGAGCCACACCAACAACCTGGGACGAGAAGGAAAGAAACGGTCGGTGTTTTTTAATGAAAGTATCACTACGAACTCACCAAAGAGAATTCACAGAAGAACGTGCAGTTACACGTGCTCTTAAATAACACTGCGCTCCAAAATGAAAACAAAACTCCTATGTCATTTAAGAACTCTGTTATTCCTACAGAAATTCTTGGGCTTCAAACTTTATGAGATTTTGTGATTTCACCCTGCACCTTGAATAAATTATTGGCACCCACATGTGAAACGAATATTCCCAACAGGTTTTGATGAAAAAAAACCTCCAGATTTCCATTACATGACAAAATATGTAAGATGAACATATAATACTTTTTTGAAAAAAAGTCAAACGCTCGTTTACTAAAAATGATACTGAACCCAGTGACCAGTCACAGATATTAAAATGCAGGAGGGACATTGGGCAAAATGAATTCTTATTGTAGGGATTTAGATTTACTGCTTTAGAAACTTGAACATTATTTTACCTTCAAAAGACTCATTTTCAAAAAATGAGGTTCGTCTTTGAAGAAAATCAAAATTGGAATTAGCAGTCTAGGTCTTATTTCAAAGAGACGAGCAATGCCTAAAAGAGACCAAGTTTAACTCTGCTAACAGGCCTTAGGTTTCAAAAAAGGTTGTACAAGGCTTTCAGAACTTTCTCTATTTCCTGCTGCAAAGTGTGCTTCACATACTTACTTCGTTTCAACTCTAGCTTGCGGTATTATTTAAAGGCTTTCAATTTACTTCTGCCTCTTTCATGCCACTTACACATTCTAAATTCTATTTTCCCTCTCCTGCAATTTAATATCAGTGGCATACACTAGTATCCATCCTGAGAATATGAAGTCCTTAATTCTGTATGAATGTTTCATTTTTACTGTCTAGCCTCTCAGCTTACTCTCATCCCCCAACTTTAAGGAAGGGGTATAATACTCCCTTCTGGGATCAGAGAACAGGAAGAGAGAAAATACATTCTTCTTTGAGAGGTTTTTCTGATCTCAAACACGCCACATCCTCCCCCCCCACCCCACCCCCCGACATACACACTTATTTTTTTTCAAATATAGAATAAAAGAATGGGCATACAAAGCAGAAATATCCCATAACCCAGTACTTGGTTTCTCCCTTATTCTTCATATAATCTTCAGCTCCTGGGAAGAGCTAACCGACTTTCAGATGCACCAATCTCAATGGCTAAGTACCCAGGAAAACTGGTCCAGTGTTAACAATGTCTGGTTTGCGAATAGGCATGCTCCCTTGAAATATAATTGAGAAAAAAAAGAAAAATGAGGAGCTGATTCCAGGAGCCTAAGTGGAAAGCGAGTGTTTTGCGAATGATGAGGGCAACGAATGTATAAGTGTGCTCTACACAATTGATGTATGTGTGGATTGTGATAAGAGTTGTATGAGCCCCAATAAAATGATTAAAAATATACACATAAGTGAGAAGAGCTCCCCGAGGAGCAATGGGGTCTAATATATGGTGGTACCAATATAACAAAGTTTTTAAGTAGTGTTCACCCATCTATCCATCCATCCATCCATCCATCCACTCATCCATCCATCCACTCAACAAACACCGCGGTGACGACAACATGCCCAGTAGTGATAAAAACTCAGACTCAAGAATGAGTGCTACATGCTCACGCAGCTACAGCACAGTCGAGTGGCACGGCCACTTTGACGATACACATGCCCACAGACTGCTGGCAACACAGAAGGGGCACTTAATATGGGCAAAAGGAGTAGAGCCTCAGAAACGGCAGCATTTGAGCCTTGGCTTTTTAACAATAGTTTACATAAGAAAGACCTGAATTTTATTTAACTTATTTGAAGTTAAGGAGGATTCTATTATTGTAAAGTGAGTGGTGGTTTACGTTTTAGATCATTAACTTTGGATTCAACTGTTGAAACCACTCATCAAGTCCCTAGTAGTTTACCCACCCACCCCCAACTCGGATTTCTCTCCTCCCTCTGGTGGATGGCGGTCTTCCATTTCCACAGGTGAGACTGGTCAACAGTCTAGTCCACTGTCTCATCTTCCCTTCCTCCCTTTCGCAAAAGTTGGCTCCCTTTGGTGTGAAAGTCTTTAACTTTTAAAAAATATATATATTACAGCATAAGACCTAAATTTTGTCTTCATTTTATGAAAGATTGAGTTTAAAACAATGGTAGATATTGTTTTTGAAACTTCCTTAGATAACCAAACAGCAGAAGCTGCACATATTGATAAGCTATTTGTACCCTGGACTGTGTGAGACAGTGAACAGAGCCAGTAGAATCAGGAAGAGTCCTGTGCACTCAAAAATAGTAATGGACAAAAACTCAGCTGCTTATTAACTGACCACTAATTAAAGTGACTCAATATTTTACACTATCATTGTATTACCACAAATAGACTGTGAAAGTCAAGACAAAGAAAAGAGAGAGGGGGGAGCGAAAACCATCTTCATGATGTTTTTTTTTTTTTTACATAAAATCG